CCCAGCCAGCATGCTAGCTGGGGAACTCTGGGAGTTGAAGTCTACACATCTTAAAGTTGCCACGGTTGAGAAACACTGTTGTAGTTCTTTTTCCCATTTCAGTTAATGCTTGTTCATGTGATTTAGTTCATGTTTTCCTGAAGTCTTGTATTGTTAATTTAGGATTCTTTGAGTTATTTGTGGAACTCCATGATGGGAACAGAGGTGCCACATGGTATGGTAAAAAAAGTCAAGATGGCGGCTTTGGTTATACCGTCACAGACAACCCTGGATGGGAGTAAGGGATATGTTTGCTTTAAATCTGGAGTGAGTAATCTTTTGGTGATGGAGGTGGGGTCAAACAATATTTTGGGAAGGGCTGAGGACTGCAGTAAGCAGTGAGATGATGAAAATTAGATGACCCAAGTTGCACTCATGGAAGTGTGTGTGGGTTTTCTGCAGGTGGGTGGGAGTGGGTTTTTTAAAAAAGTGATGTTAAGCACATTGAAAGGGTGGCCAGACTGGTAAACAGGGCTGCTAATTTTTTGGCTATTACACTGCTGAAATTCAAAGGTGTGGTCAGAGGGGATGCGCTTAAGGATTCTGGGGCTGCAGCTTGCCCACCTTTGCTTTAAGCAAAATTAAAAATAAAGACCCCCTTGTGCTCACAGAACTATTTTCTCCATTCTTCCATGCATTACGGTTCTCCTGAAGACCTATGCTGATAATCTGAATTTACATTCCAAGTATTTTACCATCTTTTCATTGCATCCCATGAATTTATTAAAATATAGCAGATGTTGCTTATGCCGAGAATAAATGAATTAGATGCTCTGGTGCCACAACATTAGTGCAGTGTAGTCTTGAACCCTTTAAATTACAAGCCTTTGAAGAATGTAATTTGATATTGTGAAAAACTGGTTTAACTGCTGTGGGTCCCTGTGAAAAAGCATAATATAAATCAAACCAATCTTTATTCAGAAAGAAAGCCATTTTAATTTCTGTGCATTTGCTCCTTAGGAGGTGTGCTTTGAAGCACAATCTGGCAGATCTTTATTGGAACTGCTGTTTTCTAAGAGAAAAGAAAATCAGAGCAAGATAATATATTTGGGGGAGGGCATCATATGCTAGCATTTTCCAATTACTTGAAAGTTTCTGACACTGAAGAAAGCTGGGATTTATAATGTTTCATCTGAGAGTGCAGAATGTGATAAAATCATATTTTATAGGAAGGGTGATTCTATTTAAATAGTTCAGCAGGGGAACAATTACACAGGAAGATGGTGGATTCTTCTCTGGTGGATATGTTCAAGCAAAGGCTGAGCAGTTATCAGGGATATCTTAATTTGGATTCCAGGATGGTGGAAAAGATTGGACTCAATGACCCGAATCAGGAGTATACAATCAATGGCACTCTGATCATTGCTTAACTGTACCTCCAGCATCCATTGGAAAATGCCCAATAATAAGGCATTATTGAGTACCTCTCTTATTCTGTGAAAGAAGAAGAGAGAAGCAGGGAGAGATAATAGGAGGGGAGGTTTAAATGACAGTACATGAGTGGTAGAGGTAATGGGTGCTTATTAATAGAGTAAACATGCATGAGTAGATGAGTGTGATGTTGTGGCCCACAAAAGGCAACCATAAAAGAATGCAGTAGAAAGGTTCCCAAGCAAGATGTTTCAGTACAAAATGACCACTGGGCTACAAACTTCCTTCTATTTATCATTGACTTACAAGTCCTTTCCCAACTTCAGTGCTCTCTGACATGGCGATTGCTGAAAAATCTGATTTGAAGTTCACACATCTAAAGGGTGGCCAGATTGGCTTACAAACAAAACTTGCACCATCATGTGCTGCTTCTTTATTGCTATGGAAATTGTCTAATTATCTCCTGAACGACAGAACTGCTTGATTTCTGCATTGCAAAGGCATTGGCTCAGCAAGATTTTGCCAGAAAAGCACTCTAACCCTTCTTCTCATCTGTTTCAGCTTCAGCACCATGGATGTCTTTTACACTAGCGGTGTCCAGTTTGCTGAAACGCTTCAGGCTGCTCTGCCTGGATTGGAGAGTTTTTGGCTTTGGGTAACCTTTTTCGGCGATCCCAAATGCGTCTTCATTATTTATTTCCCTCTTGCCTACTTCCTGCTGGATAAAAAGGTTGGATTGACAGTGCTGTGGTTGGGCTTAATCTCAGAATGGCTGAACCTGATCTCTAAATGGTGAGGAAAAAACAAGGGTCAAAAGACAGCGTTCCAGAATTAGACTGGATTTGGTCCTGTGAATTGTATATCTTCGGTTGGAACTTAGCCATTGCATTTTCGGCATCAAGAAACAACTCATAGGAACAAGGGCAGTATAATTTGGAAATTCAGATTCCACAATGAGACAGTAACTTCAGTTCAATACAAGTTTTACTATCTGTGCTTTTGTAAGATGGGGAATGGTAGATTCAGCTTTTGTAATATAGAAGGAAGAGCCAGTCATCCAGGAACTAAACACAGAACTTAACTTAAACATTGTTTTGCATCAAGGAAATTTTATAGAGCTACCTCTAATTTATACAGAGGAAGAATCCTTTTTCACAATTTATAGTGAATGCCATAACTTTTGTGGCTGTAATGGCACTCACATAACAAAAATCAAATATATAAGGGAACTGACTTGTGAGAAAAGTCGGTGAGAAAGTGAGAAAAATACTTAAAGAACCCCAAGAAGAATGAATCTGTTCAGTGATTCTGGAAAGTGGGGAGAAGCAGAAAAACAGACACGAAAGGAATTGGAATATTTCATTTATTTGTTCGATTTATATCCTGCCTTTCCTTTGGAAGCCCATTACATGAGGAATCTTACTTCATTTATATCTCCACAGCATTATGTAATAGCTTGGACAGAGAAAGAATAACTCACTCAAAGTCTCCCTGTGGATTTCCGTGGCAGAGGTAGACTTGAACTTGGGTGTCCCCTATTCTAGAGTAACACCTTAGCCCCATATCGCACTTGGGACAGAGTGACTTGAATCGCAGCCAGTAGCACTCTCATTTGTTATTAACCAACAGTCCATTAGCACTGATTAACTGAAGTTTAGCAGAAGTTTTGTATAGCAGTGATACAAGTTTGGCTCTCAGAGGAATTAATAGCAAAGCTTAGAACAAATTTGGAACTCTTCACTCTTGGAACAAATGATCTTATTCTGTTCAGGATATAGAAGACTAGAATTGCTCCATTAAGAACGATGAAGGAGAATGACTTATAATACTGTAGTAGCCTTTAGGACCTGGAACATTTTGCAAGTTTGTGTATATACATGAATAGAGCTTTCTTGGAAGGAAAGGTTAAGTTGACCCTCACCCATGCATTAGAACAGTGTTGTCCAAACTTGGCCACTTTAAGATGAGTGGACTTCAACTTCCAGAGTTCCCCAGCCAGCATGGCTGGCTGGGGA